AAAAAACAGGGAAAATTTTAATCTCCTAAAGGCCTTTAATCCCCTATAATAACTTGACCCCAGGAACAAAGCAGAGGGTAGAGACTAATTTGGGAAGAGATGTAAAACCTCTACTCTTCAATGAGGTTTTAAACATCAGTGGCTAAATTATCAAGGCAGGCTGAGGGTACTGGACCTCTATTTACATGCAAGAAAGGGCTCTATTTCTGAGTGACTTATCTGAGGGCATCCGAGTTAACAGCGTAAGTGGTGGAAATTTTCTTGATCTTGTATTTTATGATTTTTGTCAAGAGAACACCTAGCACTGTAACTGAGACTTGGCTGAAAACATCTTTCAAAATAAAGGAGAAGCAAGTCCTTTTTAGACCTGTGAGGTATGTGGGCAAGGCAGACCAAGGACACCAAGTTTGTTAAGGAGAGAAGAGTACGTCAGGTCTGCATTATAGTCTCCGGGCCTCGGTCCTCTTGCTTTCAAGGACTCCCCTCTGGAATTAGAGTACAAATCCTAGCCCAAGATCTCCCAGCAAAAATCTTAATTTTTTTTCTTGTAGAATGAAATTCTCAGTCCCAGGGCTTTCAGTGAACCTGCACCTACTTGCTGCCTCACATTCTGACTGCAGTGGGAAAGAGTCAGGCTTGCCTGGTGCTGGATTCCTCCTCCTGCATGGCCCAAGCCCACCACAAAAGAGTTCTTAAGCCTAGGGTCCAAAATGACCCTATCTGCCTTAAGCCCAAGAAGCAGTACGGTTAAGACCCTGCCCTTCTCTTTGGGATTAAAATGGGATGCGACAAGCCCACGCTTGGAGACCAAAGCTCTAGGAGCAAGGAAATCTGTTTCTTTGGCTTGCTGCTTCTTGGAACAGAGTGTCCTTGCCACATGTGCATCTCAACCTGCAGAAAAGTGTGACCTCAGACCACTAACTATGGCTCCAGGTACCTACTTTGGCCCTTCAATGAGGCACTGGGGACTCACTGCTCTTGCAGTCAGATGCTGACAGAAAGTATTCGCATGTGTGGCCGTGTAGGCTGTAAGGCACGCAGCTGTTAAAACATCTGGATAGCTGGGTCTTGGGAAGAAAATTTGTACAGTCAGAGATGTACTGGGTAGAGGAGACATGGAAAGTTCTCATTTGCCTTCCCGTCTCTAAAGAGAAGGAAACAAAGAAGCAAATTTTCAAGATGCCATCATTAAAAGACTTGTAGAGAAGACAATTGGGCCTCTTCTTAGAGATGTCAGAAACAACTGAGCCAGCTTTATAATCATGGCCAAATACAGTGTTTCCTCCAGCTTGGGCCCCATTCTTCTGGTGCGCTCTGGAAGTATGTCTGCTCTTATTTTGAGACCCCATGTCTTCCTCTCTCCCTAGGCCAGTGGGTTTCCTGAGAATTTCTTCTACAGTTGTGGGGCCTTTGGCATCAGGCAGACCTTTTCTCTAATTATTGAGGAGTCTCAGGAAACTTACTGAACTTCTCTGAGTCTGTATTTTCCTTACTGTAAAATGGAAATAATACCATTATGTATCTTGTAGTGTTATGAGGTGAACACACCTAACACGTAGACCATTAATAAATGTCCCATTCCCCTCTCCTCCATTATAGCACAGCAGATAGATCACTCTGTATGAACCTATTTTCCAAATGATTTTTTGCTCACGTAATCTGGGACTTCATTATATCATTATCATCGACACAAATATGTATAGAATACTGCATTTATACTAATTGTTTTGCCTAGTTCTTTTCTGCAACAAATTTATAAGCTTCTTGTGGACAGGGGTCTTTGTCTACTCTCACTAGCCTAGGCTGAGCTCACAGGAATGGCCGATGGATCCTTACTGAGCCCTGGATATATGTGTGCATACTTCAGATGGTCTTTTTGTTTCTTCCTCATTTACTGGTACATTTTAGGGATACAGTACAGTTACATTCATCATTGGGATCTTGTTCCTTTACATGACAGGTCTTAGTTCTCATTTTTTCCTTGTCCCTGCCAGATGGTCTTTATTTTTCTATCTTTTTAATTCAAAGTCAAAGAATGTGAAATGTTTCTAGCATACCTGGGGCACAGTAAATATTTAATACAGTTTATTTTGACACCTCATTTTTAATGTGTGGAACACACACATCTCACTTTCTCTTTCTAGGTTCTCACTATGTAGTTGAGGCTGACCTGGAACTCACTATGTAGCCCAGGCTGGTCTCGAACTCACCTTGATCCTCCTGCCTCAGCCTCCCAAGTGCTGGGATTACAGACATGTGCCACCACGCCCGGCTCTAGGATATTTTCTTATGCTGAATGTGAGTAGGTAGGGGAGGGCATGGTAGAGCTTCAGTTCCACCCCTGCACCTTGTCTTAACTTCTTTTCTAGGACATCAGGCACCTGCTCATAGTATCATTTTTGGTGACAGCCAAATTCAGCCCCTTTGGAGAATCATTCTATGTCTGGCATTTTCCTTAAATTTGTCAGAATTCCTTGCCTGTGAAGGAATCAATTGAGAAATCACTCCCTGAAAGTCCTTCCCAAAGCAGCTTAGTCTGGGGCCATCCAAATACACTTTGTCTTAGGTGTCACACGGACCGAGGGTCTGGCTGTGCGAGACTTCAGCCTCTTCCTGCTCTGATGCAGGCTTCCTGGACTCTTCTGACACCCCGTCCGGTTTCTGCTTTCTTCTTTACCTGCAGGGCAGGACTTTTGAGACCATTTACTTTCTGTACTCCATACTCTTTCCAGAATAGTGGGTCTGTTCAAGGGCAGATCCTTCCTTCTGGGTGTTCAGAGGAAAATGACCTGCTCCCCTCATCTGTAATGATCTAGGAATTGATAATTGGCTGTTACCTCTCCTTTGGCAGCCCGATGACTAGGAATTCATATTCTATTAAAGTCCTCACATTTAGGCTATCACACAACCAAGATTATGGATTTTTTTAATTTTGTGGATTTTTGAGAAAGGGCCTCTCTTGAACTCACTATGTTGCCCAAGCTGGCCTTGAATGGGGTGCGATCCTCCTCTCTCAGCCTAAGAGTGCTGGACGACAGGTGTGTACTGCAATGCCGAGCTACTTTATGGGTCCTTTACCTGGCCGTTTCCTGGCTAGAGATAACAAAGTGCTTCCAGGTACCTTACTTTGTAGTGTGGCTCGGACGCAGGGGCCAAGTGATAGGGGACAATCTCTGTTTTGGAGAAGAAACTGGGCATGGTCAAAGCTTTCTGTTGGTTTCGTGGGTGGAATTTTATTCCAGCCATGGTGAATAGAAGGTTGTGTATTTTGTTGTACTTTGCTGCCATACCCATAGGCTTCCATATACCAGACAGTGTTCTTATAGCTCTGTACGCCCATTAGTGCTCCTTCCAGCCCTGTGAGGTAGATATTGCCTCCAATTTCAGTTGGGGAAACAGAACTATGTGGAGGTTTACTTGCCCAATGTCACACAGGTAGGCGCAGAGCCAGGATTCAAACCCAGACCGGCGGACTCAGAAACATCTATGATACTGCATGGAAAAAAGAGGGAAACTGGCTAAAGAATTAAGATTCCCAAGTTTCTTTTCACTTGGGCTGTTGCCTCCATGACATAGGAGATTTGTCCCCATGTTCCCTCTCTTCATGCTGATCTTAAGCTTATTCATCCATGGAAAGAAAGTACAGCCCATTAAAGTGAAAGGTTTGCAAAATCTTGGAATGTCTGAGTAGTGTTGTATGGGGAGGACTTGCTTCCAGAGATGATGTGGAAAGAGAAACAGATCCAGTGCAGATCCCGCATCCGCCCCTTAGTTCTGTGTGTAGCACTGACAAGCAGGCTTGGCTCTGTAGCTCAGTCTCCCTGGCCGTTCCAGATGATCTCCGAGGATTCCTTCCGGATGTCATAATTTGTGGGATCCCAGTCATCAGTTTGTCTGTTCTCAGTCCACTGGTAGCAACCTCTATAGTTGAGATTTATTGCACCCTGGCTGGGCCTGTGGCCAAATACTTAAGCTGAGGAGTCAGAAGAAGAGGATGGAGGAAAGGGTTTAAGGAGAGATGCCCTCAGGTTCTGAATTTGCTGATCTGTGACATATAATCTAACAAAAGACAACCCTACTCTCTTTCAGAAGTTCAGTTCCAATTGAGAGACCTGTATACCTTTTATGGAAAGAATAAAGGGATGAATTCTGGCATTAGCTAAAACTTCTAATCCTAATTCTGTCACTTACTAACTGGGCTACTATGATCACATTTCTTGATTTCTCTGAACCTGAGTTTCTTCAAATGTGAAATGCAAAAAAAGATCTACCTTGTAAAATTAGGAACTGAAATGGTTAAGTGAAATAAAAATGAGATCTAGTCCTATACCCTGGAACACAGCAGGTCCTGTCTTCTTGTTAGAAGAAAGTGGGGAGAGAGCATCCTGGGTGGCAGGGAATGCCCTCTCAACCATTTGGAACAGAGAGCTCAAGGCCCTTTTCCTTTCTGGCTACTCCAATCCCTATTCTGGGTACAGAATAGTTGCGATTTGTGAGAACATGTTTTCCTGTGCTGGCGGGTGCTCAGCTCACTGATGTAGGTATAGCAGAGGTCCCAGAAGAGCTCCTTGTGTGAACACCCTTCTTCTCGGGCGACAGGAAAACGATGGCAAGAGGGATCTCTTGGACGCTGCCAATCTTCCTGCAGGTGCCTCAGGAAAACTGTGGCTTGGAGACTTTGAGAAGACTTGGCAGAATAGCGGCCAGAAAAGACCCAGGGAGGCAGTGGACCGGCCCAAGGGAGGGGGCATGTGTCAGGGACCGAGGGACTGGCTGCTGCTACTAGGACAGCAACAGGGGGTGGGTGGGGGTAGGAGGGGCTGAGCCTCATCCGGAGAGGAGAGGCTGCGGGAGGTGGATGGAAGAATTCTCTTAAAATGAGAACAAAGATTCTAAGAGTGCAAAAGAGCGTGGGGAGGGAGGGACTAGGGGAGGAAAGGGGTGGAGAGAGGGGGGAGGAAGAAGTGGGAGGAGGGAAGGCTACAGATACGGATTAAAAAGAGGGTGGAAGAGAACAACTGACAGGCTGGAGAGCAAATAACAGTGGGCAGTTGAAGAGGCAGCCAGAGTGTGGAGAAGCCAACAGGAAATCCAGGGAGGAGGAAAAGAAGCAGGTAAGGATGGACTTGAACTTTAAGAGCTAAAACTAAAAGTCAATAGGAAGTAGCCAGGAGAGAGATTTGCTTCAGAGGCTGAATAAAAAACCAAGCTCTTCCTCTGAGTACCTGCCTGTGAGTTTACCCTCTGCCCTTCTCACGATTTCTTGTGATACTGATGTTTGGATACATGAAGGAAGAAGGGTCAGCGAAGCGGCAGGGACACAACTTACTTGATTTATAAGGAGCTGCAGAGACCTGAGAGGGGACCCTCGGGGTTAGAGTCTCTGCCTGAGGAGTCACAGTGTTCTGCATTCTCAGAAGTACTCAGGGGTCCATTTCCAGGGACTTTTATTAGAAGGAATTAGCCCTTGGAAACAACAACAACACTGTTTTACGATGTTTCCTCTAGGCATGGAATCTTTTCTGAAATGCTTTCTGCAGCATCTAAGGGAGTGTTTTGATTTCTTTTTTCTTTCTTTCTGAGGCATGTTGGACGGTTTAAAAATATTCTGTACTTAGTTTTCTGCATAGTATCACACCCATACTGAGCAGTGGTTACACAGGAGAATCCGGGGTGCCTCTCAGAGCCAGAGGAAAGAGCAGCCCAGGGGAGGGGTCCCTGATTGTCTCCTTTCCACCCGGCCATAGTGTAGAAGGCCACAGAGGTAGAAGACACGAGGCAAAGAGGTTTCTGTCAGTTCCTTTGCGTCTTCTCTGAGTGCAGACTTGGGCTGGGAGACCTGCGTCTGGTCCTCTCCATGGCTGTGTGACCTTGTACAGGATATTTCCCCCCTCTGGGCCTCAGTTTCCTTATCTAGATGGTCCCTGTGCCTCCATTCAGTCGTAACATCGTTCAAGCTGTGATCCCCCTGGCTCAGACACAACTCAGAACCACTGAAAACACGAGGGCCTCATTCACATCCTCTGTTCAGTTTGTTCCTCTCTTCAGTTTTTTCTTTATTCCCTTTCCCAGGATCCCATCATAACAAAAGGATTCCTGGTTCTTACTCCTCACGTCCCTGAGATGGATGTTTCCTGAACAGCACTCTGGCATACCATGATCCGACTGGCCTGGGAGAGGGAAGGGTAGCACGAAGAGCACTGGAAAGGCCCTCAGGAGACCCAAAGTTTCAAGAAATGGTGCAGAAAAGAGACCGAGGCCAATGTGTGGGAACCGTTTGCCTGGTGGTTTGGCTAGAGGCATCCCAGCCTGACTGTCATACCTCTTGGCCAAGCGGTCTCCATCTTCTCTGCCCATTGACCCCAGAGGCACCAGCTGGCCCAGAGCCTGGCAGAGAGCTCTCTAGGGACAGGCCTAAACCTGCAGCCCTCCCGTCAGGTTCCTTAGGGCAGTGGAGCTGTTCTGAGTCTGCCCCCTGGTTGTCCCCTCCGGGTCTTTTCCTCACTCAGCGTCTGCCGCTGGGGAGCACCACTGCCAGCAGTACACAGAGCAGCGAGAGGGGCGTTCTCCAGCTTCTGACTTGGAAGGCTTTGGGCTTCCCACATCTGGACACAGGGCATGCATAGAGCCACGGCCATGACAAAAATCACACTGCTCGGACTTGCCACACTGCCTTGGAACTCCAGTGAGAGCTCGCTGGGCTCCTGAAACTGATCACTGTTCTTATCTCTTAGCTGCCTTGTTTGGACCCCTTCTTAGTATTGGCCTATAGTCCTAAGACGTGAGACCTGGACAAAAGAGTGTCTTAGATTGCCGAGTAAGGCCTTCTTTTGAAAATGAGGAAAATAAGACCTAGAAAAGGAAGTGACTTAATGGTGAGGACAGTGGGTCAGGATGGACTCAGCTGGGAGACTCTCTTCCTCTGTTCATTCGTACCTAGGGCTCTTCCAGGCCCCGCATATGCTGTGCATCCCGGGCTCTGTTTCTCTCTTCCATCTGAGAATCTCTGTCATCCTATTTTTTGGCAGTGACACCCATCTTGCTCATCATCTGTACTGGCTGGCAAGGGCCACAACAGGAGGAGGAGGATCTTGGGCTCCTGCAGCAGGCAGGGCTGCCACAGTGCCACCTGGCCTTTTTGGTACTTCCTGGCCCCGCTTCTGGGCCCAGTGAACTAAAATAACACAGAGGGCCTGTCTGTATGGGTCAGTCAGGTCAGGATCTGGGAAGCCTGCAGTCCTCGGGGTCGGGAAGATCCGCGGCCAAGCTCTGAGCCTGTGTAGGGAAAGGCTCGCCCAAAGGGGCTCCCAGAAGCATTCCCTTTTATTCGCTCCCATTGGCACCCTCTTGGGTTTAAGAGTTGAGCTGGCCAAAGGGAGAAAAATGCCCATTTTCCCGGAAAGCTTCAGGGCTCCTATAAAAGACTGACTTCCTTTCTATTGTTGAAAGTGGCTCACTCCTAGTGAATGACAGCTTGGTGCCACTTTGTGAATCAATTTTTTTTCTGACAGCAAACAATGGGGAAAGAAATCAGTCAATCCATTCAGTTCCATAAGAAAAGGGAGCTCTGAGGTCAAAGAATCAGAGGTGTTGAAATGGCACAGGGAGGCCTTAGAGATCTAATTCCAGTGTAGGGCAAAAGAGACTGGGCTTTTGGTCCACATTGGGTGGTTGTGGACCTGAGGAAAAGTAATGTTTCTGATCCTCAGTTTCTTCATATACTAAGAAGGGTAATGCAATCTTCCTGTAAGGTTTTATGAGGATGAAGTAGCTTACTTTTTTAATGCTTGAAACAGAATTCAGGGCCTATGTACATGCCAGGAAAGTGCTGCACCACTGAGCTACCTCTCCAAATGGGCATTTTTAAAAATCCAAAAATAAAACAAGGTAGAATCCAGGTCCTCAGCCCAAGATCCTTTGAATTGCATCTTATTTGACATATAAAGTCCTTTCTACAGAGAAGCCTAGCCATGGCATAATTCTCAGAAGGTACTGCTTGATTTTTACGACTATAGGTTTTTTTCTGGGACTATTTTTGCTGACTTTCTAAGCTGGGAACCAGAAAATATAGACTTGCCTCTTGGCTCTACCAGTAACTTGCTATACTATCACAACTAGAAAAGTCACAAACTACCCAGATGCTCTAACTTAGACTTGGAAGGGCCTCTGCAACCATCCTGTCCAACTGTACTATTTTATGCCTGACGACACTTAAGGTTCAGGGAGGTCGCAAGAAAGTCTCTTGTGTAAAGCCACAAAGATAGAACTAGAACCAGAAAGAGCCTCTCTTGTTAAGTGGTAACGCTGCATTTTTTTTTTCATCTCCTTACCTTTCTTGCCTTTTTTTTTTTTTTTTTTTT